CCCCAAAACCCCAAAACCCCAAAACCCCAATAGTGATACAATTTATTGAAATGGAAAATATGAGAAAGCCCCTGAGGTTCAGGAGAGTTGACAGTTTTACTATCAGAGTTGAAGAGGTAAGCCCTAACCCCTTAAAATTCGTTGTGGTAAATATGAACATCGCCATGGCATTTTAGGTGTTGATGAGAGTACTTTGGGAGAAATATTATGACATCAAACCATTTAAATCCCTACCAAAATTATTCTATCACTATTTTAGAGGTTTTTGGGGATTCTGGACACAATTTTAATTACGCTAAGCAGACTTTTTCGATGTTGAGAAGTTCTGTACTAAATTGATAGTTGACCTTTTACTCAAATAAATCTTGAAATTTGCTTCGTTGGTTTAGCAATAAGATTAAATTATATCATAATTTTTGCCTTGCTATCTCGAAATTTTTCATTAATTATTGAAAGAGACTTGGAGATATAAAGAACGAAAAGTCACATACTCGTTATAGAAAACTCTGTTTAATGGCATATCTCTGCATAATTCGTGCTTAGTTATCTTCTATAAACATCTAATGAGAACAACTTCGCCAAATCTCCTATATTATTGTCCAGCTATTCCTTCTACTCCGGTTCATTAAAGGAATTCTCAAAAAATATTTCCCTCAAGTTTATCGAAATTTTAGAAAAGGGCAAAGAAAACGTTCCGAGATAGGAGAGGCGATCAGAGTGCTTGCTTCTCTGAAAAACGTAACTGAAAGCGATTTCTCCAAAAATTAAGGTAAATTTATTGTAAAATTTATGAACATTTCAAAAATATGGCGTTTTACTTACTATATTTATGTAGAAGAAAGATTATTACAGGCAGCCCATCTCCTGTTTCTTTACGGAATAAGCTGAAAATAATCAAGACTGGGAAGACTCCAGCAATTAAGAAGAACCAGGAGATTTTTAAGAAAGGATTCAGATCTCCTCCTCCTAATAAATTTCAAAAATTCCACTTATCGTCAACAGAGAGGAAGAAGCAGATGAAGTATATGAACAATAGGAAGGGAAGGAGGAACCCTCTTGAGTTTCTGATGAAAAAGATCAATGCCTTATCCCCAAATATCAGCCGCAACTTTGCCCAGGGCAAGAACCAGACAACTGACCGCAACAGGAAAGTTAAGAAATCCAAGAAGAAGGAAGAGACGAAGGAAGAGAAGAAGGAAGAGACGAAGGAAGAGAAGAAGGAGCCAACTGTCTTTAATGGAGAATTCATTCCTTTGGGAGAGAACATGAAAGAGACTTTTGAAAGATGATATTACATGTTTGACGACCTCCATTGTAAGATAAGAGACTTGAAGAAGGACCAAGGCTTGTGCAAGTCGCCATTTGTGCTAAGTAAGAAGTTAGAAAAGATTAAATTTAGTAAGGAGAGGTAAGCTTAGCCATCTTAAATCCAACCCTATAGGCTTAGACAGCATGAGAATACTTTGACAGATGTGAACAAAGCAGCTATATTAAGAAATCCTTGTCTGTCAGAAAGAAATAATTTGTCTTATTAAGATAAATAATTTTTAATAATTACGACATCGGCATCTCAATTAGCTGCTTTCGTATCTGATGAAGGATTGAGTTCAGAAATTTAGAACAGTTTAAGCCTGCAAATGCAACAATTTAGGTGCAGTTATTATTCTCTAAATATTTTCGGAAGCAATCTGAAGAAATATTTTTAATAACCTCATTCTACTAGATGATTCATATATAAATTAGGTGTAGAAATCAGTAGAAACAGACTGTTTTAAAATTTAGCTAAAATCATATCTACGTACTTAATATTTATCAAAGAAGACTAGCTAGTTATATATTGCCATGATTATTATTGTAAATTTCAAGTTCTCAATTTTCTCAGTACTTTTCATGCTTAAAGGATCATTTCTCAGACCAAGCTATGCACTAAGGAAATACATTCAAACTATTTTATTTAACTAGAAGCAGTGATTTATCATAATATTTAGAACTTGTAATTGGCGTCTAATTATATGAGGATCCATTAACCTTCAGGTTCATGAAAATTGGCTGATAGCTTGCTCTATTTTCACAGAGATTGAGCAGCCTTGGGTATTACTTTACACTATGATTGTGTAAGTCTTTATAATTCAGGAAATCCTATCCATATAGTTATTTCTGACCCCTTGTTAGCCTGTTAATCTACCAGTTATTCTAATGGCAGCTCATTTAACGAGTCTGGGCTGCCATAGTTAAATAGGATTTAAGAAACAAAATAATCATGATGAGAAGTTTCAATATCTTAGATCTCAGATGGGGTTTTGGGGTTTTGGGGTTTTGGGGTTTTGGGG